AAAGAATTTCCACTCTTGCGCTCAATTAGGCTTGTTTATTTTTGGTTTAAGCTTGGTATAATTTTTAGCTCCACCCTGGTTTCTACTTCTTTGAAATCCTGCCTGTGATGTTGACATGTGCTTTTGATTATTTGAAAGAGAAAGTATTTTAAAAGCTATATTTATTCACTTAAGAATGTGCAGTTCCATCTGTCTTTACTCATTCTTGTCATCAAAAAGATTTCTCAGGGATCTTTAACAGCGGAACAAAGATTTATGCGTCCCTCAGGCCTCATTTGGAGATTATAGTGGATCAAAGAGGGCACTGATAATGTGCCTGGACAAAAGTCAAAAGTCTACAGATTTTTAAACAACTGATCTTTATTGAGTTTGGCTAACTGCTCACCCCCCTTTTGAAGTTGTCTAATTGCCATTTCTTACAAAAATTACCTCATAAGAGATACGCTTTCATCCCATTATATTTAAATGGATGTAACTAATAGAATGAATTTCTCTCTCTTAATTTGTTCTAGTCCATGCACCAGAACAAAATAAACAAGGTCTTTAGACGTCCTTGAACAGAAAGCTGTGCTGAAAGGTCCACAGTTTGTACAAGCCATTGGCCCAGTCATCCTATATGATCTTGAGAAATCATCCCAATATTTCTCAGAACTATACTGAGCATATTTTTGTAAGGCAAAATTCTACTGTTTTGTAAGGGATGGTAGAAGAGTTTGTCAGTTTCCCAACTTTAACAGTTCATTGGTAGGAGAAATAGAGAATGAATAAAACATGTATTGTAATTATCCTCTGGGCAGAACTTCCCTGGACCTGTAAGCAGTCAGGGGGGGTTAGTGGCAAGAACGCCTAATCAGAAGTCCTGTGACCTGGCCTGCAGAACAGGTCTCAGGCTAACTGGCTAAGAAACCCTTGGCTGGTTCATTTCCCCTTGTAGGTTTCCATTTTCTCATCTCTAAATGAGCAGATATGAATATAGGAGTAAATGTTTACATAATGTTGAAGATAATTTTCAGCTCTATTATCCTATGAAAATACTACCTATAAAGTCAGATGTGAAGGCCAGAAATGATATCATTATAATAAAGCCATGAATTAACTATTTTTATGGCATAACAAAATCTTACCAATCACCAGGTAGGACATTTGTGTTTAACAGGTGAGCAAATGTAGAGGCTCAGAGAAGGCAGACCTGTTAGTCAAAGTGATGAACCCAGGGTTCCAATGCAATTCTTCTGATTCCAAATCCAGAACTTTCTAGAATCCTGTGGGGCTGACTTCAGGGAGGCCACTT